TGAAGGTTTGCTCTAAGCCCTCGTTAGGTTCCCAGCAGAGGCTCTTGCAGGCTGGATGCAAAAAGTCTTTATACAACGTGGTATAGGGGTTTTTTGAGTCTAAAGAAAGGTCTTAGAGGCCATGCAGTGGGCTCCATTTGACAGGGACCACAGTGTCTTGAATCTTGCACATACACATGCACACAAAAGAGAGACCTGGCCAAATTGTTAGGGGGGCCCTCTCTGGCGTGGTTTTTGAAGGAAATACGGGGCCCAGAAATGTATAAACTGGGGGGGTCAGGGGGGCAAGCCACCAGCATATACTTTCCTTCTTGCTAGCTTCTACTCTACTGCTCTAGTGTAGCAACACCACAGCAACACCGGCGTGGGGTATAGACAGTGTACTGGTAGTATACCAATGCAGTCTTACTTCACATGCTCCGAGGGGTGTGGACATTGAAAGTTTCATGTTCAATTGAAGCGAGAGAGAGAGAGAGAGAGAGAGAACTTCATCCTGACTTGTCTGAAAGGCATACCCCCCCAGACCCCTGTGTTTATACATTTCCCGCGCCTTCGTATTGTATATCTGAGGGGGGGGGGGGGGCGTGGTTTTCTGGTTTAGGCGTGGTCGTTTTGTTGCAAAGTTTAGCGCATTTATGCTTGACTGCCGTTTTGTTGCGAGACTCTCCCGTAGTCCGCAGCTGAATCCAAAAAACTCCCCAGATCGCAATGACTTGTAGGGATCGGGGAGAATTGACTGGTACAGGATTCAAGCTGGTGTGACAGTGGGCCTGATGACGAGGGAATTTGTTGCAAAGGGACAGAGAGAGAGCGAGAGTCAGAAAGATAGGTAGATAGATAGGTAGGTACATAGATGGATTGATAATAGTGCACTAGCCTAGCCCGCCCCAAGGCACCTTTTGCTTTGTGCTTGTGAATCTGTGAATCAGGCCTTGGACAAGCTTCGCCTGCCGATGGCTCTGCCAGCGCCTGGTCGCAAATTGCCTGATGTCACTGAAGCCTTGGCCTGCGGCTGCTGCGAACACATCTGTATCGGACGGGGCCTCCCGAAGCGAAGCGTGCAGGACAAAACTGCAGGGCTAAGCCTCCCATTGGAGGCGCCACTTGGAATGAGGTCAACCGGCTGCTTGTGTGGTAAATGCGCCCTGCGCTCCAGGTTGTTTGTGACAAAGCTCGTCAGTCCCATAAGCTTGAAAATGCTTGAAGCCAGGATTTATCCTTGCATCTACCGAAGAGGTAGAAAGCAGGTGTGACAAAACCAAAATGTAGACTATTGGCAGGAGGCGCTGGTCACTCCACTGGGCCTTCCGGGGGACTTCCAGACTGCACCCTTCATCGCTGTTTGGGGTGGACATGCCGGCCTCTCACCCCAAGGTAGTGACCAGTAAGGGTAACTCAGCAGCCTGCGAGAGACACCTGCAGTAGCTTGTTGGTTCCATATCCACACGGCGAAGGCCGAGGGATGCTCTGAAGTGATTAGCAGGTACCGTTCGAACCAGTCGAGTTCATCAGTTCAGATGGAAGGGTTCCAGCCGAGGCTTCGATCGGGCCGTGATGCTTTGGAGTCAGGAGGCTGGCACTTCCCCGATCTGTTTTGCAGTCTCTGTGCTCGCCACTCTTTTTGGGCCCCCGCAGGTCCTGGAGGCCGTCAACTCCGAAGGTGCCAGCTTCTTCCCCGGCGCCAGCGGTGAGCAAATTCTCGTGAGCGGCGTGGACTGGACGCTGATGACGACCGGCGTCCGGGTGCAGATTGGAAAGGAGGCGACTGCACTAGAAGTGCCATTGATTCTTGTGCTCTTCTACGGCTGTAACCGCCCAAGGTACACCGGCACTTGTGGAGTCAGTTGGCAAAGCAAAGTCCATGGGAAGACTTCGAAGCTCCAGCCTAACTACGGATAGCAAGTCTGGGTTTTTCAGGGCCTCCGTCCCCAAGAACAGAGACTCCTGACATTGAAAGACTTCGTTTTCTAGGAATCCCCAGACTGGACCGAAGGTGCTTTTGGAGATCACCTATCTCAAGGGCCCCTGCAAGAAGCAAGATTCCAATTTCGCACAGCCAGAGGCCATGTGTCATTGCTCCATGCTGTCACACTTACAATACTTCCCTTTCAGTGTTCCCTGACATAGCAGTGGACTGTATGAATGACTCAGTTCACTGCTCAAGGATATCAGACGTAAGGTGTGAGACACTTGGGTTGTTACGTTTTTAGGCGTGTGAGGTTTTGTGCTAAGGCCCTACTGAGCCCTACTGCCCTGAGCAGGCCAAGGCACGGATCAGCCCAACGAAGTGCCGCGGCCGAAAGAAGTGAGGAACACATGCTCTGCAGAGTCCCAACAGCTCCACTTCTGGGATGGTTGGTGCAGTCCCGGCCTCTTCCTTTGGGGTTGTAAGGCACGTGAGATCCACTGGCTCTATGAGTTTGAGCAATGTTTCGGAAGAAAGCTCCGGGCTCAGGAATCCTGGCTCCTCGAGAGTGCTGGCGAAGGTGCTTAGACCAGGACGAATCTTCCGGGGAGATCGCCTCTTCGTTTTCGAGCACCCGGAGGGTCCACAGAAGCAGTTAATTCAGCACTGAGAGGGAGAGGCGGAAGCCTCAATCTTCCAGGGTTGGCCCTGCTCAGAGTGCATCTGCGGCGACGTGCAGACACGAGGGCTGCTACACCCAACGGTTCCTCAAGCTCGCATTCCTGCCCAGAACATGGCTGAGAATCTCTTGAATAGTCAAGTACTTGTATCAAGAATGAAATTTCAGGCCTTTGAATACGGCTTGAGCCATCGTAGTTTTCTTTTGATTTTAAGCTCCGACCGGCCACTGTAAATCGCCAGGGAAGGTGACGAGGGAGTTGGCATCCCTTCGTGGAGAAATTTTGCAGTCGATTCCGGGTCTCGATTTCCTGCGATGTGGGATCCAGGCTTTCCGTGTTTCCGTGCGTGGCGACCGTCGGACCGCGACGGTGCGCAGCATGCTGCGAGAGTGTCCAGCAAAGCTTGGACTCTGTCCCCAGGCCCGCTTGCAAGCAGGAAAACCTGGTGTTTCGAACCGGACGAGTTAGATTGCGAGTTGGATTGCCTTGGGTGTCAAGCCTTTGACTATGCCTTCGTTCCATCCACATTGACACCATTCTTTACATTGCATTGCTAGCTTGGTATGCCGAGCATGCGCACCCTCAGATGTCGCGTATGAGGAATGAACACGCCAGGTGAATCGACCGAAGCCTCTATAGCATCCCTTCCCTTGTCTGACTCTAACCCTGCAGCCTGTGACAGCTCTTCCAACGTGGTTGCATTGTACATCCTGCTACACGGGACGAACTGAAGAGCCATCCGCTATCATTTTAGTGGGGAGGCAAAATGACAGCGCTTTCCTCGAGGCTTATCGACATGTACAAAGAAACGACACTGTCTTCCTTGGCAGCAAGATCCAGAGTGCAAACGTACGCATACCCAGGTTCCGACGACGGGTCCATAGCAGGCGACTCTGCGCCTTGGTGGAGACCAGGGGTGAGGAACCTGATGGTTCCAGAGGATTTGACAGAAGAGGAGAGAATTCAGTGGAACGATATCAAGGGCTTAAGGCAACCTACAGTATTGGACAATCAGCTTGTACGAGTAGGACCTGCAACTTAGATATTGGTCTTCTTCATGAGCTCACACGTCGCACCGAGGATCCTTTTGAATACGAGGACCAGGATGACATGGAAATCCAGTCCTTCAATGACGAGGAGATGTCGTTGTATTTACGGCCGGATACACCGCATCCTAGTTGGCTGTCCTGAGCATGGCACTGTCGCTTCATGCATGTTGAAGCCTTCTTGAGCAGAAGAATCGCATAAATTTCGATGTCATTATTGGCCAACATGCCCTTGCAATCTGTCCCAGCGAACGCGATGTTGGCGAATGTCAGGCTCGACAAACTTCCCGAGAGGTCAGGTCTAGTTGCCCGTTTCCGCAGCTGCCTTCACATCTCGCATGGAGGAGGACGATCAGATGCACATCGAGCCGCCAGAAGTGCGGAAAGCTCCTTATACTATCATGAACAGAGGAGCCGAGGGCGATTGAAACATGTGTGCAGTCGGAGCAAGCGGTTGTTCGGACAGGAAGGCAGCAGCTGTCGTTGCAAGCCTGCAGGGTTACTAGGAACTACTTCCCGCAAACATATGCCCTTGCCCAGAAGCTTTCAGCTCGCTCCAGGAGAGATAGAACTCCGACAGAAGAGTGTCATTAGCGAGGCGGCGGGCAGGATGGAGTTTTGTATGCAGGTATGTACACAGGCATGTTTGCAAGCATGCACGGTCCTACCATGTGAAGAGCCCATCTGCCCTCGCCACAGTTGCCTACCGCGCATGCCCACGACATGGCCGTAGCTAGCCTCACATTTCGGTCATTCTTTGTCTCTCTCTCTCTCTCGCCCTCTTTGTGTCGAGCTGCCGCTGCTTCGAAGGCTTCGGAGCTCCTGCAAGTGTCCACTGAGGAGGGACTTTCCAGTGCCAGGGGGTCCTGGGCCTGGGACTGCAGGTAGCCCCAGGTGGCCGCTGTTGCCATTGTAGCAGCCTAGCAGTTCCAGCAGTTCTTGTCGCAGCAAGGGGCTTAGTGTCAAGTGTGTTCTGAACGTGTCTCCCATCAGAAACATAAGCAAACAAGAAGAATCCAGGAAGACAGCATTGATATTGCTTGCAGATGCTGAGATGCTGGCGGTGCTGCGTTCCATCACGATGGAAGCCGAGTGTAGAACAGAGTTGAACTGAAGATCATGCATTGTGTCAGATGGATCTCACCCGGGCTTGACCTTCGAAAAGTCGGATGTTGGCTGGATGCTGTTGGCCTCCACATTTGTGGTGCAGCACTAGGCAATGCTGATTGAGGCCTAATCCGAGTTTGAAAGCCGCAGCTACAGTGCTTGAATTTCGTCAGGCCGGAGGGTTTCCTCACATCGTAGTAGAGATTCGAGCATCGCGCAGGACGGCTTCGTGCTTCTCCGAGAATACCGCTGGGACCTGCTAAGGTTGCAGGCCCGGCGCGGCGAACAGTGGGCTTCAGCTTGCCTTTTTCTTCTCTGCTTCCACATTGCATGTGGAGTATTGCACCCGAGCACGGGGCACAAGACTGAGGGTCCAAGGGTATGGTCTCGAGGATACAGCAGATTCGCAGCAGTGGGTGTGCATGGGAAGCTCCAGAATGATGGCCACTGAAGAAGCCAAAAGCGGTCTCGTTCTTTCAAGCCCTACAATAATTCTCTGGCTTAGGTCCCAGCACCTATAGTATTATAGGCGCTTCAGCACGTGAACTGCCGCAGGAGGCGTGGTTTGACAATGACCAGAAGGCCAAGTGAAGTTCTTGTTTGGAAAGTAAAGTAGGCACCGGCAACACAATTCAGAGTCTGGTCTATGTTTCATGCAACACAGCAGATATGGGCTATTAATTGGCTTGGAGTTACTGTATCTGTTGCATGCAGCACTCGGCAAATCAATAATCCTGCTAATCCCGGTCTATCTTACTGTGCCAGGTCAATTATCTCAGATCTGTGGGACCCGTGGCTTCTCCTAGATGAAAGCCTCGCAATGTCACAGGTGCGAAATCGTTGCGGATTGAGCACCTCTTGTCCGTCGCCTGCACCATCTTCCGTAAAGTCAGGTGCCAGATGGACTGTTGGAATTATGACTGCCAGATGCACTGAGCGCTTGCCACCAGAGATGGTCGTGTTGGGGTGATCATGCAGAATGTACGGGGCGGGGAATCCGTAAAATTGGGATACTGCAAACTATGCAGCAGTGCATTGCTTTGGGGCATCGGCAGTTCGCGGCCGGACTGCTGGCATCTCTCCTTGCTGACCTGCTTTCGCAGGCCCCAAGACGTGTTCCATCTGCATGTCCGCCATCGACGACTTGATAGCTCTGGACTGCGCGCACGGCTTCTGCGCCTCGGTGGTCCAGACAAGTGAAAAAACCCTCCAGCCAAGACGAAGTCAACACTACGCACATATACGACATATACGACATTATTCACATGCTGCTGTTCTGGAAGTTGGAAAACACTACCAGGTAGAGCCGCTCAGGTGCAGAATGCTGGAGGGGCTATCTCCAAACGCAGGTGGACGACGGAAAATCTGCGGTGCAGACACGTCGCTGAGCTGCGCTACCGGGGTTTGGCAGGCCTTGAGATGGTGCCTGCAGGTTATCCCGCAGGTTATTTCGGCACTTGCAGACTGGAGTCACTGGAGGCTTCAGCATGGGGTCACATGTTGGCATGCAAATCCAGCCGAAGCCCTTCCCTCAAAGGTTGCCCGCAGCACAAGTGCAATCGGGTAGTTCCGACATCCTTCTTCGGGCGCTTTTGCGACGAAGAGCGGCAGAAGAAGTACCAGGAGCCAGGTTTCACGAGAGCTTTCGAAGCTGAGAAAATTGCATGTGTCAAGTGCCAGGAGTGGTGCTTGCGGACCTACGTGGACGAGAATGCTGCTGTGAGGTGGTGTCCCAATCCCGTAGGCTGTCAATATGCCTGTGAATATCCAGGCGTTGTGACTTGCTTGCAAGCTCAAGGGTTTGGCTTCTGAGGTTCAGGGTTTAGGGTTTAGGGTTTAGGGACTCGGGTCTGGAGTCTGCAATTTGCTTCACAAGGTTGCGGGAGGTTGTTCTTTATTTCATTCGCTTGCAGACTTTCGCGCTGCTTGCTCGTTCTAGCCCTTGGTCAGACTTGGTGATTTGCGACGGCGCGAGTGAAGAATGTCAGAACTTGACTAAGCATCAAATCACAGCCCCCCTGCACAAATAATGGAACCCGCCATTAGACGCGAAACCAATGTCAGCGTGGGGAGCGAAAAGCCAAGAGAAGCGGACACAGGGTAAAGCTCCCCTTTTTGTAGAATCTGACGCGGCGCTGAGGAGATCGTTGACGTTCAGTGCAGCTGCAGCTTTATTTGGTGCTGGGGTTGCGGCGAAGAGGCTCACAAGCCGGCGCCTTGTCTCAAATTCGATTTGACAGTAGCTGCAGGGCTTCATGACACCCCTTCCGTAACGTTTATAACTATGCAAGGCCGCCTTTTTCCTGATTAAGTGAGCCCCATCTCTGACAAGCTCACGTAGCCTATCATGTTCGTGTGTATGTACGAGTTGAAGTTGAAGGTCTGGCACGTTGAAAATTTAGGACGCAGGCGATATCCGTGCTTGACTTACACTTGTCATGTCGAAGCATTGCCTGGCCTGCTTGTGGTGGTGTTGTCACCAAGTTTTGATGCTGATCGTCATGGTGGCGTACAGAAGAGGGGTGTATTAGATGGATGTCCATCTCGTGCATGTGCCACCTCCAGGCCAGCTGCCAGACTGTCAACCAGTGGAATGTGAAGAACTCCGCGGAGTCAGAGAACATCAGCTGGATTCGGGCGCACACAAAGAAGTGCCCCAAGTGCGGGGCGCTAAGCAGGGAGGGCAGCAGGAGTCTTCCAAGAAAAAGGGGAAGGGGGTGCACTCTTTCCGCAGCGGTCCCGATCCGGAATCCAAGCCTCGAGCAGGCGATTCGGGGATGGCTCTGTTTGAGTCTAGCAAGGGGGTTTAGGGTTTAGGGTTTAGGGGGGCCTACATTCTCAATTCGCCTCCTGTGCGACTGCGACTCTGGGGTTTCTTCAGAGGGAAATCGCTGAGGCCACAAGCCCATCGAGAAGAACCAGGGCTGCAACCACATGGTGTGCTCGAAGGCAGCGGCGGGCCTGGGAGCACAGTGGCACCGATATGCCATGCTTCTAGCAAGGCTGTCTTTTTCCAAGGCTCAGACTTGGCAAAACCATTGAAGACGCTGCCAGTCGAAGCCTAGTGTAGCGCACTCCCCAGCTGTTTGCCATCCCAAAGAAACTGCCTCGACATCGCAGACATTAGCAGAATACACTGCGCAGGCGGGCGGCTGTGGCCATGAATTCTGCTGGCTCTGCCTGGGCGATTGGTCTACTCATGGCACGTCCACCGGAGGGTCTCGTGGCCCAAGCTTACCCTTGATATTGTTGCTGCGTTGGTGCTCGCCTCTTTCTTGCGGGGATGTTGTGGAGGCAACCAGCAGTCGCCCAAAAGGAAATGATCATCGGATCTTTATATAGTCGTTCCTTAAGATGTTCGTCGAACAGCTGTGCTACTGCTGAGTTTTCTACGCAACCCAAGAATTAGGGTCGTCAATGTCGGTCCGAGGTATTACCAGTGCAACATCTACGACAAGCAGTCAAAGGAGGGAAAGCACGCTGACGAGGACCTTCAAAGTGCACTGCCGCATCTCATCTTCGGTAAAACTCTGTAATCTGTAAGTGTAGGCAGGAGTCTCCACCTGTATAGTCACTATGCCCGAAACCCGAAACCCCTGAACCCGAAACTCATTAGAGATGCGGTGATTTTGGCCCTTCAGGAGCGGTGCAGGCTGAAAGCGAAGCACGCCCTCGACAAGTACATGCTGCCTGCCAGCGAGCTATCGAGACATACGCCAGGAAAACCTCGGCCCTAACCCAAGCCAAAGATGCATCGAAGTTGTGTTCGTGGGGTTTTGCTGCAAGCTGAAGAAGAATAGGAGTTCCAAACTGCTCAGCACATTGTACAGGTTGTAAGCAACACTTCAGAGAGTACATTGAGAAACAAGATGTCGTGGTTTTTCGGATTTGCTTCGAAAAGCCTGAAGCTGCTCGCTTGTAGGTTCTATTTCGAGCGATTTATGGACCACGACCGTGGCATGAAGCTCACAGTAACCGAAGAGCAGGACCGATCCGCCGCGTAGAGGTCAGGGATTTCAAGTCCCAGGCCTATAAGCTGAGTGCATGCCGCAGGGACGTTTGTCCGGGCATTTTCGTCAGAGGGACAACGAGTTGAGATTTGCTCCAGGACATCGAGGGGAAAGTGCAGAAGCTTCACGATGACCATGGCTTCGAGATCATTGAGCTTCAGTTTCTCTACGATGTCTTTCGGCTTCCAAAAGTGCAGAGCAATGCTTCACCTCCTGCGCTTGGCCAGTCCAGTGATGATCTTTGAAGCCTTGAAGCGAGGCCCTTCGGCAAGTGAGAGCCTGCCGGCGCGTCCTCAAGTCACTCGGCTAAAGACTCTCACATGTACAGCCTTGCAGGAGATCTGATCTCTGCTTTTGGCTTGGCGCTGTCGCTTAAGGCTCAAGGCTCAGGTAAGGGTTGAAGAGCCAAGTCTCAGGGCCATAGGGGCCGCAATCCAGGATCATGATGTCGTGATTAATTATTGTGCCTTCTTCGTAGCAGGCTTTTGCTGTGTGGGGGGGGGGAAGTATCAAAACTGTTTGACAGCGGGCCCCACAGAACATGCGAAGCCAAGGTTCATGTAACCAAGGCTTGCAGTCCTCTAGAGACTTCAGAGCTCAGGTGGACATACGTCTACGGCTACTACCTGGACGACTCTAGTGCATCTTTGCTTCTTAGATGTCATGTGTTGGTGGCTTCAACTCAAGGTTTAGCCTCCTACATGCTGAGTCGATGAGCATGCTTTACTCTTTTTCTGGCACTGGCATGCTGCATGTTGCATGCAGACATACACATGCCCACTTGTGTATGTATGTATGTATGTATGTATGTATGTATGTATGTATGCATGTGTATGTGTGTATGTATACACATATAGAGAGAGATAGAGTGGAGGCAGATGTATGAGAAATAAGCATGCATGGCATGCGCACATAGACCCATCAACACATTTGCACATGCATACATATATACGAACATACGTAAGCGCGTGCATGCATTTGTTTGCCCCTGCATAGCCGAAAGACTCATCTTCGGATTTTGGAACTTGTTGTGCTTCAAGAAGACCAGAAGTCTGGCAGTAGGTTTGTGCGTTGTAACTTTGCCAAGCAACCAAAGTCTGAACCGCTTCTTCGTCACATTCCCTATTTGCAGTCTGCTGCTGGGACTGAGACTGGCCTGGCAGAGAGTGCGGAGCAAAGGGACGGAAATCTCCCTTTAGGTGTACCTTAAGAACCCAAAACCTACTTTTTTGTAGGGTCCCTATAAATCCCATATTAGGTTAATAATAAGAACCTACAAAAAGGTGGGTTTTGGGTTCTTAAGGTAGGGCTTAGGCCCAGGCTTTAGGATGAAGCCACGACGACTCCTCATTTGGACCCCACTTTAGAGCAGATCTCAGTGCCAAGGGCGGAAACATCGCTAGCCAGACGCGGAGTGTTCGGGGACCATCGTTTAGGGTTTAGGGTTTAGGGTTTAGGGTTTAGGGTTTGTTTGTAATCTTCCCGAAAATGGTGCGAGCATGTGCGACTGCGCAAGTTGAGCTACAGGAAAAGAACCTTTTCGAGTTCTTGCAGAAAGACTTGGAAAAGAACACGGATTGTTTACACGAGATGTTGGAGAAGGACCCCTGCACCGCCCAGACAAGTCTATTCCGGCCCACCTTCGCATGCAGAAAGGGTGTGTCTCGTTGCTCGGTTCTGTTCAAGGGATGCAGCATACTGACTTTGCTATCCAAGTCGGTGTTGTGCATGTCTGAGCCCACCAGAGTCTTGTGTCCATGCCAGGGTCTTGGCAAATGGCCCGTCCACTTGGCAGGACTTCGACCGAATGTTCTTCAACCCGGCAGAAGGACAGCAACTTTCACAGGCAGACGTGCACCAGAATTTTAAGGTCTTCCGCACCTTGGCACGAAGGGGTTTGCCACGAAAGGTAGAGCTGAGAGTTTGTAGTTGGAAGTGGACACAACAAGCTAAACACCCCGTATCTGCATGTATCTGCGTCCGGCGGTGGGCCTGATCATGCTCGGGTCTTTCTTTGGCTTTCCAGGGCATGGCCAAGCCTGAAGGTCAGCGAGAAGTCAGACTCGGCAAAGCAGGATACAGTCGAATTACATTGTGCGCTGAGAGACTGTTTGTGCTTTCTGCTGCGTATCCTTGATGTCAGGTAGCCACGCCACAAACTACACAAATGTCACACAGAAGTTCATGGACAAGGTTCTGAAAGATCTTGGATCGGACAGTGGCCTTGGGCAGAAGATGCTCGGGCAGAGCAGCTCCAGTTGAACTGGATAGTACAATCTTGCAGTCTTGTTCTTGCTGCTCCTGCTTACCTCGTGCGGAGGGAGCAAGATACAGCTGCCATGATCTGGCAGCTAAGTCTCGTGGACTCCAAAGCTTTCTGGAAGAAATCAGAGCAGTGCGGCACACACGGTAAGCCGGAGCGGCAATGTACATGCCAGGTGCAACGCGACCCGACGACCTGTTTCTGACATAGAGTTATAGAGTCACAAGATACCGAATGCTTTGTCTGCACAGTGGGCCACGTTTCACTTCCAATCTTCAAGTTGTGATGAACAACATGTGAGTCTAGTTAGCCTGTTTCTGGCTACCCAACCCGTGAAGAGGGAGTCTGGCACCATGTATACATGGTCCTCGCTACAGACCTTTAAGTGGAGGTTGGGTGAACTATCTGAGTAACCAGACATTTCGAAGCATACTCGGCCTCTGTGGTGTAGCCATGCAGATCTGCTCTCGGCTTTACGTGGTCAAAGCGTCACAGAAAAATGACTGCACCGTATATATGGGTGGTTGTCAAAATTATGGGCCCTTTTTGGGTCCTTATTATAATACGGCACCTATTACAATAAGGACCCAAAAAGGGACCATAATTTTGACAACTACCCATATGAGTTTTGGTGGTGTCTTGCAGGGTCTCCCCGGTCCCTAGAATCTTCGACTCCCCTGCTGCTTCCTAGGCTCGCTATCCGGGAGAGTCTTGATCCTGCGGCAACAAGCCTTGATGGGCATAATATGGATTATGGATTATGGATGTTCTTGGAAATCGCTCGAGCTTGCCGCATGCGTGTCGTGGATCAGACGGGATCGGAACCCAAGATGTGATCTCAATATCCTGTAACGTTGTCTAGTCCGGCTTTCTGGTGAGAAGAACAACCGCAGGCTGCTCGACGCATCGCGACCTTCGATGAGGACCTGTGCGCACAACTTCTCCCAGTCTTTCGGTTACCATCAAAAGCTAGATCTCTCGCTTTGCCTGGTCAGAAGTCATTGGCCCAGACACGCCTGTGCATATGATATTAATATGGTCAGAAGACGCCACATCGAAGGCGGGGAACTCAACTAGACGAACGTTGCCTTACGATGCTGTTATGGCAAGCTTTGAGGGAACTGGTTAATAATCAACAGACGCGAGGAAGCAAGCAGGAGCACACTGGAACACGAAAAAGGAACGGATGGAATAGCAACAGGATGAAAGCACCACGGGAATGGGAAGCTAAACAGCATAAAATTAGACTGTGCGTATGTATGCATACTTATAGGTATTTGTACAAACACACATGTGTATATATATATATATATGTACGGTGACGCTGTTTAAATATGTGGAGGGCGGCCCAAGCCCAAGGATGACAGAGGTAGTGTTATAAATGACCTGTTTATATCCGGAAGTTTAAATATCTACTGCCCTCCCGTAAGCCCTGCAGCTTTCCGGCCTTCCAGCCCTCCAGCCTTCCAGCTTTCTCCAGTCCTTCCAGCCCTTCAGCCTTCCAGCCCTTCAGCCTTCCACCTCCAGCCCTCCAGCCTTCCAGCTCTCCAGCCCTTCTAGGCCTCCAGCCCTCCACCCTTCCATGCAAATCTTTGGATCTATTTCCGGAAGGCTGGAGGGCTGGCAGGCTGGAAGGCGGGAGGGCTGGAGAAGGCTGCAAGGCTGGAGCACCGCAAGGCTGGGGGGCTTGAAGGCTGGAAGCTTGGAGGCTGAATTGGCAGTTTCGGAAGGAATGAAAGCTTGAAGGGAGGGCGGGAAGGTTGGACAGGTTGGAAGGCTGGAGAGCTAGAAAGGGAGAAGGTGCAAGGCTGGAGGGCAAAGGATGGAAGGCAGGTGGCGGGGGAACGAAGCAAAACTTCCGGATGTTGTGAAGTTGGGCGGTCCAAAGCAAATGATCTGTTTAAGCTGTTTAAATGTCAGGGTGTTTAAAAGTAGGCGCCGTATGTGTGTGTAGTTTGTGTATGTAGGTATATACTATATATCTGTACATGTTTACAAGTATGTATACACACATATGATATGCATACGCATATCTATTGTGTGTTTGTTTGTGTAAGAACCGGGGTATAACTTCTCTTACGATAGTTTCCTGACCTTGGTTTACATAATATGATTTCGCACTCGCTTGCTGCGTCAGCGTCTCGCTGTCGTGTTCCTGGGGCTCAGGAGCTTGCGAAGCAGAAGGCAGCCGGCGCCTAATTCCTCGACGATGCAGTTGAGAGAACAAGGGTTCAAAGTACCATCGTGGTCGAGTTTAAGTTTAAGTATCAAAAATTCAATATCATAGAAATCATGTTCCGTAGGGACAAACCTACCGTGGTACTGTAGTATTTCCATACTTGGCACCGGGATTACAGTAGTAGGGTCCACTTTACAGAGTTCAGAGGGAAGAATCTGAGAGGTTTCGTCAGTACATTGCTATGCGGGCTGTGAAAACGGCAACCAGGAGAGTTGCGAGCTCTGGACCCTCGGTCGATTTTGCAAAGCTTGCCTTCCTCGTCATCCATCATGATGAAAGCCGGTGGAATGGCACTTTGTGGCTACCTTTCGGCTCAGATCTCCTGCGCTGCGTCGGCCCTGTGTAACTTCCGAAAAGCCCCCGGAACTTAAGCTGCTCAGCCGTGCTTTCGGTTCCCATGCTGACGATCGCGAGTTTTTCTTCCTTGTGGCTGCCGCGCATTGTCCAAGTGCTCAGTGGCCCTGCAGCTTTGAAGGCTCTACGTTGCTGCAGGAGTCTGAAGAAGTTGTGGCCGCAATGCCTCCAAGCAGGCGAAGGCTTTTGGATCCTTGAGGAGCTGAAGAAGATCTCATTGGAGCAGCTCCTAGCACGGGACGAGGATCTCTGCAACTGCTTCCGTCGGGCTACGAGAGACATGGGGAGTTGCCACATTACTTACTGGCTACCATTCAGAACAGTTGAGATTTACACAAGCATGCCAACACCGGAGTCAGAGTCACGGAAAGAGACTGCTTGGGTGGACCGTCACAGGCCCACGCCTCAGCTCGTAGTGCGGAGCTTGTCAGAAAGCTTCGAGGCCATGCACGGCAACGAAAGCTTAGAGTTGACCAAGCGCATACTTGCGCTTCCCGCCACGATGTCCCAACAGCTGCCAGAACTGTTTGCGGGTGGTTTGAAGGTAGTGGGGAAGGAATCGCCAGCTCTCGTGGCCATGGGCGTTGGCGGCTGGGAGGTTTCCAACACCTGTGAGACATGCCGGGCTAGCGACTGGTTGCACTTCGGCTTTCATCGTCCGAAGCCAAAGGTTCCTCTGGCAATCTTCCATTTGAGTGGCAAGTTCGATCTGCCTGGAGGGGACGGTGGTTGTAAGGTCAGCCTGGGTTATGTGAGCACAGATTTAGACTATGTGGTCGCACTGCGAGACTTTAGCGAATTCCCCATCCGAAGGCATCTCTCTTCCAAGGTCACCACTCGCTGGGAGGAGGTCGAAGGCCTGCTACAGACTCGAGGCCTTCCAGGGCCCAGTCTGCCAAGCCTCAGCCGCGAAGGCACGAAGACGGATGAGATCCTGGCGAAAATAACAACCCCTGAAGGCTGGGAGGTTGAGCACACCACGATGTACATGAGTCACATGAGTGAAACTCGGTGCGCCATGGGTGCCCCATACCTCGATGCCATCTACCGGGATGCCAAGCGATTGGCAAAATCCGGACATTCTCCCTAGTGGCCTAGTGCTCGGTGCATTGATGCGCAGGATGTCGCGCTCGTGTACAGTGTACAGGCGACGTCTGGCATGTACAGACAAGCAGCAAGCCGTTCTGTACGCGAAGTTTGGTCAACAAAATACCCCAAACCCATAGGAAATGGGTCTGCGATGTGCCCGACTCGAAAGTGTCCGTTTCACGACGCTTACATCAGTTTCACCGACAAATCGGCATACGCTGGAGAGGAGGGATTAATCCAGTCAATGTGTTTTCAGCCCAGTTCACTTGCCGAACATTGCTTCACCCCGAACCCTCTTTGCCTGACTGGGGGTAGATGTTGCTGGTGGATGCCTACAAAGAATCCGCTTTGAATGGAACACTCGACCGTAGCCTGGCATAAAGGGTTCTGCGGGTTGTTTGAGCTGATTTCTTGTTTTCATCTCGGCTTCCATTTTCAGGTCAGCAGGCTCAGCAGGCTCAATGGGCATTTCCTTCGTTTGGAGAGCCCGAGTGTGAGCGCAGAAGTGATGAGGCCATGCGCCGTCGGCGCACTGAGGCCTCCGGAGCCACCGCGCTCGGCCCAGAGCCCAGAACATCCGTGGATTCAGGAACTGGCTTCTATGGGCGCCCTTATACGGCTTCTTGACAGGCTTTGAAGAGGGTTGGCTCTGTCTAGGCTTCAAGTAGCAGGATTCTTTAAGGGCTCTCGCAAGCGTTGGGCTCTTATCATGGCTCGCTGCCAGGTTCTTATAAGAAGTTCTCTCCAAAATTCAGAAATAGCCAAAAGATGGTCGTGATGATGGCGTGATGGTCTTTGACTCGGATCTGCTGTGATACCACGGGACGGTTTTCTCTCATTGACGACATCTTGCAAAATCGCATGTCCGGATTCTGGAGCAGTTGCGGCTGTGTCACGCCTCATAGTGGCCTCGCACACGAGGTCATCCTCGGGTCAAGGACCCATCCAACCCATCCAATGCCTTTTTTCAGCCTTGCAGGCCATGCGCTGCGGGACGGAGCCGCACTGCGAGGCCTCTCGGAGGCCACGGCAGAGCAGCGCGCAGCCTGCGAGGCGGGGCGGCTGTGAGTTGTAGTATAACGCCGCGCGCTGTAGCAACAGCCCACGAAAGCCTGACATCATTGTGGGATTCCTGTGGGATCCAGGGTGCATACGTGTAAGGCCATAGCGCCATAGGGGGTTGCCTCAAGCCGACCCTGAGGCAGCCATCCAGGCTGCACGTGAGGAAGGCGGTGCGGGTGCAGCCGCGTGGGAGGAGCCGACTGGCGTGTCAAACAGGAAGCCTTGAAACTGGAGGCCTTCATGAGACCACCAGCCGTCATGCAATGGTCCGGGCTCCTGTTGTTTACTACAAGCCAATCATGCAAGAATGGAGAACTTTCGAGTTCCGGATCAGATCACACAGATGGATGCTTTCTAGTGCAAGAGGCAGGCGGCAGGTTTGGCGTAGTGGGCGTGCTCATCTTGCTCCTATGAGACTGTAGCGACACTGCCGAAGGACTTGGCACAGGTTTGGGGAAAGCTGCAGGAAGATGTGGCGGAGGTGCAGGGCTTCACAAACTGCACCATCTGGGAGTTTCCGAAAACAAGGGGTCCTTATCTTGGGGTCCTTATAATAAGGATCCTACTCTTTAGGGTGCTATATTAGGGTCCCCTATTTTCGGAAACCCCCATCTGCAGCTTGCAAAATGAAGTTCTAGAGCCAATCAGATATCAGCGAGACTGAGAAGCTGGTCTGGATCATCTTCTGGGTTCTTGTTAAGGGATTTAATTTAAGTTGCCATAATAAGGAAACCATATTATTTACTATAGATCCCTATTATGGTAACTTAAATTAAATCCCTTAACAAGAGCCCAGTCTTGGTGGTTTATACATCCCAGGGGACTTGGGTTTCATACGAATGGCTTGAAAATCTTCATGCACACAATTTGGTACATACATACATACATATCCTTATACACATACATGTTCGTATAATATACATATGCAGATTATACATATACATACATAAACTACACAGATAGAAAGATGCATGCACCATCGAGAGCCTTTCATGGGCCGTTTGTGGCGAATCACGGCGAATCGGTCCGAGGTTTTGGTACATAACCAGATCGACAGATGCATGAATGGATGGACGGACGGAGGGATGGATGGAAGGAAGGAAGGAAAGATGGATGTAAGGGCGGGTGGATGCTGTCATGTCAAGGGAGCATGTAAACCTTGGGGCCCCAAGAGTCCTTGGTGGCTCCTGTGCAAGGCCACCAAAGAGGCAGAAGCCGATGCAGAGGAGGCCTGCGGTGACGTCGCTGAGGCGGGTCACGGCAATTTGCCTTGCGATTCAGATGCTACTGGCAGCCGACAACTCTGGACTTGCGAATCGTTTTGATGCTATCCAGACTTGAGCCAGCCTGCACCTCCTGTCGTTGTCCTCAGATCTCACACCATCTGGTCTTCCGCGGACTTGCAGCGGCGGCCCGCCGTGCGGCTGCCTTCGAGCGGAAACTGCAGACTCTGCGCAGGGAAGGCCCCCGTACAGTTGCGCATTGTCATTGTCAGTGCTCGTGGATACGCACAGGCAACGGACATCTGGCTTCAGGGGCTGAAGACAGTCATGCCTCTAATTCAGCAGTGCTGACAACACCCTGGTCGGTATTTCGCTGTAAGTTTCAAGACAAATGTGCGACTGCGTTGCTATATGCCCATTTGTCTATCCACATATAAACAGTTGCTGCATCTTAGGTTTTTACATATGAATGCTTGGTTCAGGGGTTCTCAGATTAATCCGAAATAAAAGATGTCTTCTCGTTCATGTTGCGGGTGATTCCGAGTTACGAACACCCAAGAACCAAGCTACTTGCTGTGTCCTTGCCACCGCAACCTTCAGGCCTATGCACAACGGCTACAGCGAAAGAGAGCAGGTGTGTACATAAATTAGCAGCTATTTCTCTCCTTTCGGTTCTTGCGTTCCTACTTCCGGCCCCTGGCTTTCCATTTCAACCTACGTGCGGGGGCTGGAATTACTCTGTTATCTGGCAGTTGTCAAACTTGACTTTCAGAGGCGCGGTGATCTAATCTAAATAGTTTGTGTTGATGTCTTTGTCGAGTTGCCACTCCCCCCTTTTTAGGCCCTATTTAATTATAAGTTAAGACAGGAAGTCCAGAGACATTATGCACATTGTCGTTGTTTGTCGGTCAACAATCTTGAGAACAGGCCGACAGTGTGGTATGTGACATGCAGTCAGGAAGTGTCAGTCATCGCTCGCCCGTCCTCAGCCGCACGTGGCCCTAGCCCACGGCACCGAACCTGACATCCACAGAGGTGCTTGGGTGCCCTTTTAATGCGCCATGGGCAATTGGCGCAAGCTTTGCCTTTTCCTACTGCTGGGTGCCTTGGGCTCTGCCTGGGCAGAAGTTGCGGACACGGAGGATGCGACAGCATTAAGAGCCGGGACAAATGCAAGTCGGACCTGTATTGCTACTGCAAGCATCACGCTGTGGTTTGTGCTCAGACCGAGTGCATGCGTCGACCTCGAGCTGTTGTTTTCTCTTTTATGCAGTGTCCCTTCCTTGCAGGATGCCACCTGCCAACTCGAGATCCTGAAGCATCCAGGCAAAGTCAAAGCGTTAGCAAAGGCCAAGCACAACAAGGGTAAGAGGAAAAGATTCGAAGCTTGGCGAGTTGTGAGTTGTGATTTCTCGGAGGGTGCCTTGGTCCTGGTTTCGTTCGGAGACGAAATGTCGACGAGGGATCTGTGCTCTTTGAGGAACTCTTGAAGATCAAGAGCCAAAGTGCTTCCACGAAAGCGAAAGCACGGGAGGTGCACCACACCAAGGCTGGTCTCTTAACTTTGTCTTCTGCTGTCTGCTTGGTTGTTAGATCCGTTGAACTACTGCTCCCGTCATTCGGTGACTTAGCCAACCTCTCGGCTGCTTTGCGAGACTCTCGGATCCAAAGCTCGAGTCCGAAGCTTGAGCTGTAAGTGTGGAGTATCACAGGGCTTTCAGCTCGCATGCCTTCTATCCTCAGGCGAAAAGCAGCAAGGCGAATCCGGGACTAGACCTGGATACCGACTTTGGCATCAGTGACACCCTTACCGGCGGGTCTCGCCTGCGGGAGCATGCCGAGAGGCAGCGTGCACAGGGCCTGAAGGGCCTGAAGCACGCCAGCGGCCCGAAGCCGGCTCAGACTCAAGGCAAAGCTCTCAGAGCTTCTTGTCTTTGGCTTTGGAAGGTATATGAGTGGTTGTCAAAATTATGGTCCCTTTTTGGGTCCCTGATATAATACGGCACCTATTACTTAGGGTACCCCAAAAGGGACCCTAATTTTCTGAAACTCCCATATGATGACATGATAGTACACATGTCTTGTCCTTTTCCTTTGAACTTCGCCCCACAAATGGAAGAGGAAGAAAGCCAGAGAGCAGTGTTGCTGAGGCAAAGGGTGCGGCTGCCCCGACCGAAGAGACTGCGTCTCTCGTGCGTCATCATCAGGTTCCCACCCTGTCTGCAGTTGTTCAGGGTCGAGTCATGAGTATAAAGGATTTTTGGGAAGGGATAAAGGCAAGACTCGAAGTACCAGGATGCGCATTGGCAGCACACCGACGGTCCAACCTTCGCAGTAACCACCCGCGTCTACGCAGCAGAGCTTCCCTATCTGAAGCACTTCCTGAAGTACTACTTGCACGACTTGCAGGTCAAGCGGGTGTCTCCAGGCTGCAGCCAGCCTTATGCGACGTCTACACTGCTATACATGCTGAGGGATAGCTGCGTTGGTGGTGAGGTCAGTTTGGGCCTGTCCTTCAGTGTCCAAGGTATCTTTTCTGTACTGACGATGCCGAAGAGACTACTATTCGAAGTGCTGTGCGAGGCTTTGGCTTCTCAGAGCAACAGGCAGGATAATTACCCCACCGCTCCGCCTAAGCACGTATGTACCGTATGTAAGACAATCTGTTCAGAGACTGTGGAGACTCTTTCGTGTGTGCGTGTGTGTGTGTGTGTGGGTGTGTCTGTCTGTTTGCCGTAATTGAGCATCACAACTAGCCTATATCTGCATGCAGGTAGCCAGAACGCAGTTCCTAATTTTTCAACGACAGGGCAGTTTTCCCATATTTTTTTATCATGGCCAGTCGGTCTTCTACGATAGATTCGGCTTGTGCCGGTCCGTGCTTACTCGTAGCTTATCTGATTCAATCTAGTCCCAAAGCGGGATGAGTTTCGGGAAGGCGGGGGGGCTTTGCCCGTGAGCCTCGAGTATTCCAGCCCTTCAGAGGTGGCGTTCGTGCGTGGCAAGCGCAACCAAAGCCTGCAGCGGCTGAACTACCATGCCGCGACTGGGCTGGTTTGAGAGCGGAGAGGCTCCAACACAGAGTCTAGGCAAATCACGGGCCCCAGGAAGGTATTCAACAACCGAGGTGCAGGAAGACTTCCTCTTGGATGTGGACGCTTGCCTTCGATTCAATTCGGCAGCCTTAAATGTGCTGGGCCCAGTACGAAAACAGTACTATATTGTATGAATGAAGCTCGTGGTTTCTAGTTTCGGGTCCGCCACTAGGAACACTGAAGCTTGTGACAATGTCGGGAAAGCTCTGGAAAGAAGCTTTGCCCGAGGACTGTGACGAGTTCCTGGTGCCTCCCAAGGGTGGTCTTCGCGGCATCATCGAGTCAGACCCACATGCAGATGCTCGCTCTGCGCTCGTTCTTTCTTGCTGGCCCTAGCCACGAGCTACCGTCCGTTATTTCTGTGACTGGTAGTTGGTAGACAGTCTATAAACTACGCACTATCTGTAGTGTGGTCATGGTTGGTGACCGGCGTAATAGTTGGTTGAATCCAGAATACAGGCAGGCAGAGGAGGTTGCTTAAGGTTTACGTGCAGTTGCAGTTGCACCGCACCCACACCGAATGCAAGCAAGCCAGCGACACTTTCAGAGAAGAACGCTCTAGATCCAAAGGACGGTTTCTCGAAACAAATCCGGTGCACCACGGCGAAGGATGCATTCAACCTCCAGTGGACCTGTTACCCGAGCGACGCACGCGAGCTTGATTTCGAGCCCAAAGGCAGGGCCCGGTTCTAGATTTTCAGGCTGAGACACCACTTCCAATTGAGGGGTGATGACAATCTTGATGTCGCATTGGAGATTTTCTCTGTATGATGTCGTTAGCAAGCATATTAGTTGATGGCAGGGTTGTCTTTCCTACACAATGTGTCCATCCAGCAGGGAAATCAATGTATTGGCCTTCACGTAATCGCGCCAGTCTTTGGAGACTTGGTGCGTGTGGCCTTTCTGCTGCCGGCGGCGCTTCATTTCCACCCCCCCGCCCAGCCTGGAATAGCCGATGTTCAGTTCCAAAGATTGCGACAATGGCCAAAGCAGACTGGGCCATGAGCCAGGTATCCCTTGCACTGGCTATAAGGGGATGATCCGAACGAAGAGCCTGCACCTGGGACAGGGATTATTTGTGACATTTATGATTCCGACCCTGCAGGTTTCGATACATGTTTATGTGCCTGGTGTGCGAGTAAAAGTTTGACCCCTCATGGCCCTGTAGCCAGTCAGCATTTTCCTGCAGTTGCAGCTGAGGCACGACGAGAACGGACACTACCAGTTTGTGGAGGGCACACCGACTTGCGGTGGAAGAGGTCCTTTTCCACAGACATGCCCCAATCTTGATGATTACATGACTCAACCTGAAGCTAGAAAATGAACATCTGGGCCCATCTGATGGTCAGGTCAATCCGGTCCTTGCGTCTTCTCCAAGCATGTTATCCCGCTAGCTCATATCCAGTACCGTGGCTTCTGGGACAGCGTGCTGAAGGACTGCGTTGCAAAGCAGCATGCGCAGCATGGCATGCTCTCGCAACGGTGGCTTCCTTTGCAAGCGTCTGGCTTCTGACTCGGCTCGATGGCCTTAGCTGTAGTTTCCGGATCAGGTTTTTTTTTCTAGCAGCCGCTCGCTGGTTACGTGTAGGATGTCAGCTCGCCTGCTGGATCTCAGTGGATGCTGCTGGCCTGCACGAGAACAGCCATCTAGCCGTACGGCAGAGTAGCTGCCATGCGAAATGTGCAATGCGAAGCTTCTTCAGCGATCTAGGCTCAAGGGCCAGCCAAAGAGCATCGCGATGCAGAAGATCAGGCACAGATTGTTTGCGGTGATGTCCATTCAGACTTTCAAGGTAGGGTCGTCTTGGTGCGCGTGAGCGACCTATCTCGATTGCAAAACCCCGTCCAACATCTGTGCAAGAACAGCAGACGAAGACACTCCTCACAATCCAGGCAGGGTCAGCCGCCAAAGCGAATGCAGTCCTTGGCGTTTGAGCGGCTGGGCCCATCAGAAAGCAGGGGAACGGCGTCGGTTTCGCTGTCCGATGGCTTGCACTCTTGATGTGCACATGTTGCCGAGTTGAGGGTGGATGCAAGGAGTGAGGCTCCTTCAGTTCGGTAGGGGTGGATGCAGTAGCGGAAAAGCAAGCGCGAAATGATATGCTCAGCCTTGTCAGGAGCAATAGGTGCAAATGACAACTCTTCGCAGCCTGCAGTGCTTATAGGAGACCTAAAGCCTGTCAGACCCTGCCACACGGACAGAGAGGATGGTCTGCGTCGAGCGATTTGGCACGCAGCTCCTGTTTCTCGGCTCAGATGCAGTACACACGAAGAACTCAAGCCCGCACATGTTTTATTCCGGAAATTCAGCAAGATCAACGTGAAATTCAGCCCAGGTCTGAGCATGGGCTCAAGGTTCCGAGGCCCTGTGCTTATGGGTGTTTGCTGCTGTTTGGTTAGATCACTGGTGAACTTGGGGGCTCGCGCTCAAGAGGGCTGTTAGGGCTGTAGAGATTTGGGACAATTCATATCAGAGCCTTCCGTCCCGGGTCCAGATGCAGTTATAATTCTTCTCCAGCTGCAGACCCCACAGCGCCACGGTGTGGAAGGCAGATGAAGTTTTCCATCGACGGCATCTTCCAGTCGAAGGCCTTGGCCAATGCCGGCGTGGATCGGGCGCCTCGACTCTTCCGATCCTCCTCCCCCCAGAGTGAAGAGGCAAGCATCGACCTGCGGCTGTAAGCTACGCTCAGCTAGACTTCGTGGACTTTGCAATTCAGGCTTGGAGTCGTTGCATCTTTGCCGTGCTGCAGTCGACAGCCGAGGTTCTGAAGATGCAGGCAGAGAAGGGCTATCGAAGCCCCCTGCTTGGAAGTGGCAGATTGTTGCTTGAAGCATCTTGAAGCCATACACTTCTCATCACGAGGAGTCTTGCTTTGAAGCCCAGGATACAAGGAGGCCTTGCAGATGTCCTTCGACAAGCTGCTTTGCAACCCAAAGCAGACCTGCGCCAATGCCCTTCGCCTGAGACACTGAAAGCTGCGGCTGGCTTGTTAACTGGGTCGCATCTCTGATCCCATTTCCCGCTTGGTCAGGGCTTCTGCGTCAATCTTGTGGTAGTCGTGCTTCGTCCAAGAACCTGGCCTGACCACGCGCCAGTGCATCGAGTAGCATTTTGTAACCAAGCAGTCGCGACCCTGACAGATCAAGCCGAATCCCTTGACAAAGCTCCTGGAGAAGATGTCAGCATCAAAGCTCCGGGCCTACAATGGCCCTAGCCTGAGTTGAAGTACTTTCAGAGTGAAGCACTGCCTCACTTCGGCGTGTGTGTATCCGTCTCAGGGAGACTGTCCCTGCTCTCCAGGTGCTTGTAAAAAGCCCGAGTCTGGGGGCCATGAAGTGAAGTTCACGCAGCGGCCGTGCCTCGATGCCGGCAGTTTTCAATGCCGGTTTAGATGTGGTGACATTCAAATTGAACTCTTATACGTCTTAGCTGGGCTGGTGCAGACCCAGCAGCATGCTCAGGAACGCGGGCAAGAAGCAGAAGAAAGCTGCAAAGGAGCGACTTGCCGGACCTGCTTGGGTCATCAGCCTTTCGAGCTTTGGGGGACGGGTGGGAAGGGACTGTGGTCAAAGATCGAGGGAAGGCTGAGGCTGGCAACAGAGCAGGCAAAGTTCAAAAATGTAAGCGGATGGGAGAGAGTGAGCTTGAATGGATACCAGCAACCTCTGGTGGCATGAATGTGTGCTACTCCTCCTGGGGTGGCAGGAAACATGTAGAAAGCGTTGACGGTCTCCGTTGATGCAGCGCCTGTGAACGCCTCGATAACCTCATGTGGTCCACACAGCATCAGAAGAATCATCCCTTGCTGCAAAAAGCATCTGCCGATGGAGTCATCACATGCATGCATGCATCCTACGTACATACATGCACGCATGCATGCATGCATGCACTGCTATCTGTTGGCAAGAACCCGCAAGCACGAAGTCTTGGAAATGAAAAATGCAGTTTCCACGTGTCCCCAGATCCCAGACCTGAACCTTTTAGCCACAAAGCCAGATCTCCTCCGAGCCTGAGGCCGGCAGCGCGCGCATTGCTGCATGTTCGGACGAAGGACCCCCCGGTTTGCAAGGCTTTCATCGCAGTTTGTGGCCGCCACCACAGGACGTGCAGGAGAAGGAGGCCAAAGTCCCGACCTTCGCAGTGACGACCCGCGTCTACGAAGCGGAGCTTCCCTATCTCAAGCACTTCCTGAAGTACTATTTGCATGATGTGAAGGTCAAGCGGGTGTTGCCTGGCTGCGGTCATCCTTGTGCAGTGCTTTAGTGACTCGAGTTCTTTGTTTTGCTTCAACGAGAGGTATCTCTGGTGCACAGCCAAATCCGAAGAGCCCGCCATCCGAGCTGCTGTGAGAAGCTTCGGCTTCTCTGACCAGGTCGGGCGCCGCAGCTTTCGGCCTTTCGGTCTTCGCAAAGCACTCTGAGTCCTGCTGATGCCCAACCTCCGCACTCCAGAGGTGACCTTCGTGGATGGCGGATCGCGCATCCAGAACCTGCAGCGCATGAATTACCATGTCGCAACCGGACTGCGGAAACGAGCAATCATGCGCTACAGTAAAGGGTTTCTTCGTAGCCAATGCGCTGTGCTAGCAGAGCTGTTGCCGAGGTGAAGGAAGATTACCTGTTGGACGTGGACACTTGCTTCGAGTTGTGCGGTAATTATGTGGGGTAGAGTTCCGATTGATGTTCAGTCCGCGGGATGGTCTCCGACTGATGCACGGTTCAGAAGGCCATGCCGGTTGTCTCTTGCCGAGCTCCAGCATTGGGGCGGCCTTCCTAACTTAATTAGACCATCGGCAGCCCTTGTCGTCACTGTGGCTGACACCAGAACATGAAATGAAAGACTACAGTTCACACGTCCCCCCATGGCCACCTTTCGGCTCGAGGGAGATAGCCCTCTGCGCTGACAATACAGCAAGCTGATTGAGAATCGCGAGCGCCCCCCGTTCCAGTTCCGGCATGGCAAACTTTCGCGATGGCACCGCTCGATGGCTATTCTTTAAGTCAGCCTGCATGGGCTGCTGCTTCGGCTTCCTGAACCGCGCTCTGTTCTTTGATTTGGAGTGTTCTTTCATAATGTCCATAGTTTCCTGTGACGATCCAGTCCCACCCTGCCCTCATGGTTCGGCACAGCTGGGAGACTCGTGCATTGCGCATCCTCCTGGCTCCTCGGAGTGGTCCTTTTCCACGCACTGCGCGGTGCGAGAACAAGTTCTGAACTCCGCACGTGAAACGATGTCCTCATTGTCTGCGGCAGATGGATTCGGCAGATTTTTGGCTCTTTTTTTCCTCGGCCCAATGTTGGATTCCTGGGGTCGCAAGCCCATGCTGCTGGTCGCCCTCATCGGGACCCTGATTCGGGCCTTAATGCAGTACAGCTCATCCATTCTTGTTGGCCGAACGTCTGCGCAAGACTGGATCAACATCGCTGCTGCCTTTGTCGCTTGCGCGCTCAACATCTTCAAGCCTGCAATTATGGCCATGGCTGCAGATCTCTCGGAGAGTCAGATTGACCGTCGAAACTGGGCATTGTCAGTAATGAATCAAGCCTTGTTCCTTGCAGGGCCCCTGGGCTTTGGAGGAGGCTTTTGGATCCTGCATGCGAGCCTGGAGAGCTACTCGTGGGTTTGGGTCGCAAGCGCACTCGCGAATGTGCTCTTGTTCCTTGCGACACTGCTGCTTCTCTCCGAGACCAAGCATCTCTACGACACCAGGACCATCGACTTACAGATCGTCCCGGAAGCCAACAAACAAGAGCCGGAAATTTGCAGGTCCAAGGACGGCCAGCAAAGGAAAGGTCGCAGTTGTGGCGCACTGCGTGACACCGTAGGGTTTGTTCGTGACGTCGGGCGGGTTCCGGTGCTACGGCAAGTTCTGATACTCATTTTCGCGCTCAAGGTGCTGTGGTCGATGGTTCACCTTGGGCGTTGGCTCTTGATGACCTACCTCGGCTACTCGCAAGCTGCAGCATCAATGGTGGGCTTCACCTGCACTCTTCTCGGCGTTGTAGGCAGTCGCGTGAATGCGCTTCTTGTGCCCCGAATCGGATCTTGGAACACCCTGCGAGTGGCGCTACTTCTGTGCAGCATTGGAAGCATCTTGGAAGGTGTGTCTGTGGTGCTTGCGAGCCAGATGAACCCTTTCGTAGTGCCCAGCATTGTGTTCTGGACAGGGCGAGTGATGCTGGGAATGGGCCACGGCATCTACATCCCTCTACTAGATGCAATTGCAAGCGTGCACGTGGGTCCTGAGCAACAAGGGCGGCTCTTCTCGGTTCTGAAGCTTACAGAACTGGTAGGTTCGATCTTGGGAATGTCGCTCCTCTTCCGCAACGTCTTCAACAGCTCCTGGACTGGCTGGATGGCTCCCCTCTCCTGCTGGGTAGGCGGGACTAGGGGCCTTAATGCCTCTACAATTCTGCGGGGGGGGGGGGGGGGGGG